GGCGCCGCGGAGGCGCGCACCGCTCGGCGCCGGCCCCGCCTGGGCGGCGGTGCCAGGACGGCGTCCGTGACTGACAGGAGCTCCCGCGGTCTGTTTTCTGTTCCTGGATGTTCCGTTGAACGGGAGCCAGACATGTAGCGCCGGAGGCTGAGCGGGCTGGGCCGCCTGGGGAGAGCGGCACGCAGGCGAAACCGCGGATCGGGGCCAGCGGCCCTGTCCGGCATCGCTGCACCCAGCCCGCCGCCGTCAGGGCGCTTTCCATAATTAACCATGGCTCTGCCCGCCGTTCGCAGGGCGCTGTTCTGGCCTACCTGACTCGGCTCTTTGACCTCCGAAGGAAGGATGTTTTGCTTAGACTTCAAATTCCTCTCTTTCGCTTTTCTTTCTTCACTGGCTTGACAGCAAAACTCTTCCAAATATACGCCCCTTTGTGCACTGCAAGCAGGAAGATGAACTTATTTTAAATCTTCCGGCCTCTTCTATGTTGCTTCGCCTGCAATAGCACATTCTGATAGCAACTTTGCAGTGACTCCTAGCTACGCAGAGGGGCTGAAGCACCTTCAGAGTCCCTGGCGTTCCTGGAATGAGAAGGGCCTGTTCCTGCTGCCCACTTAGCCCGTCAGCCCTTAACCCTGCCCGGTCTCTTTGCGAGTGGTTCTGGCAGCAAGCAGGCACACTCACTGGGTCAGAATCGCCCTGTGTGGAGCACCCAGCAGCGTCTCCACCTGGGCTCTAGGAAATGCCAGCTGTGTCATGAAAGGCAGGGGAGTACTGCCAAGGCTTCAGGGCATCACTAGCCCTTCCCCTTGGTGGCAGGGGTGGGCAAGCCCCACCCACGTCTGCCTAGCCGGGCAGTCAGTGTCTGGGAGGGGCGTTCCGTGCTCCAGTCGATAAGGGAGAGGGTCTTCCTCAGTCACTAGCACTTTCTCCGGGCACCTGGTCTGGTGGCTGGTGGTGAGTCTTCCTGCAACACCACTGATCGCGTAGAATTAATTCAGTGCTGTTGTGGAGGAATCCGCCATGGGTTAAAAGTAACCCTGAGTGGTTAAACTGGCCCTTTCTGGGTATTCTCACAAGACATTAATCCCTCTCCTAGCCTCAGTTAAACATGTTATGGGCCTGAAATACATGGTTATTTCACCTTTTCTGGTCCCTGGGGCCAGTTAAAATTAAAGAGCCAGGAGATGAATGTAGCTTGGAGCAGAGTGATGCCCAGACGCTCAGCTGATGGCAGTCCTTTGCCAACCTTGGCTGATCTTGGAAAACCAAGCAGAGCTGGGGCTGGTGAACCCTTCACTAGAGGTCTCAGGGCGTGGCTGAGGGGAGGAAGAAAGAAATGGCAAAACTCTTCCATCCTGTTGCCAAGGTTGCTGCACAGACGTAGCCATGAAGCCACCAGGAGTTGGTCTCAGCTCTGAGGAGACTTTACCGTTTAATCGCCACCCTGTAAGGAAGAAGAGTGTGTGCTTTCGTATCTGTATCTTATCCCTGGATGCCAGAATATTTGTCTAAGCGTGTGGCCATTGACCTCAATGGCAGAATGAGCGGTTTAAGAGTGTTTACGTTGGACTGTTGAGCCCATTCATATGGGAGAAGAACTATGTACAGCAGGGATCAAATATGCGCTCAGACAATGATGCAGAGGGGCTGTTTGCAGGGCTGAGTAAAGTTCCTAAAGCAGAGTCTTTGTAGGGCCTTTCCTTCTTCATTGTGTTTCTGGTCTTTGGGGCAACTTTCTCAAACTTTGCTGTTGTTCGGAGATAAGGCACCGTCAATGGACATGGCCGAGGGGTGGCGGGAGGGGAGAGTAAATGAATGTGCCTTGGAGGGGCAGGGTGTGGCCCTCTCACAGACCACCCCACTACAGTTTACGCATTCGTGTCCCTGCGTTTCCCATCTACTGCCTATGGGCCCCCCAGTCCCTTTATGCCCTCCCAAACATCCCAGAGGGGGCAGGGCCAATATTTTTGCTCTGCTTTTTAATTTGGGGGTTGGAATTTTTGACCCCTTAGCCTTCCAAAATAAGCAAAATGCGCTTAAAGACATAATGTGCCGTTATCTTAACCCATAAAGGACTCAAATGTTTTTGCCCTACCCAGTATGGTGACCTCATAACATCACAAATCATGGGACTTGGATGGGAAGATATTCCTAACCCAGGTTTATGCCATCTCAAGGAAATATGGTTCACCCTAACACTGGGATGGGGGCAGCATTTATGTATATACAAGTTCTTTGGGCTGCTTTTCATCAAATGATCCCAAAGTAGAGATTCTGAACATATTAAAAACAATAAAACCACATCAAATTCCAGCAAATTCCAGCAAATTAAAAATGAACAAAAGGACAACAGAATAGTAACCTGTGCACAGTTTCAAATATTCAACCAAAGAACTGGGTTGGGGGTGTACCAAACACACACACAAATGTTAAAAAGTAAATGAACAAAAATCCCTATCTTTGAACATCCCATCTGCTGTCTCGTAGTTTTGCAAGATCTTATAATCTTGTGAGTTTTGACCCTTTAAACATACGGTTTTATTTAATTGTGCCGGTCTGTGGATATGGATATCGTTTAGGGTTTTCAGAGACACTGGTCTCCCGTTGGTGCTTTGTTGCCTCTCCCTGGCCTGATAGTTCATGTGCCAAAAGTTTTTAAATGTTGGTGCCAACCTTTACTGAAGAGGGCACGAGTGCCACAGTTAAGGTGCCACCCCTGAGAAGGCCTTGTTGGAGCAACCAGATGTGAAGGAGTGTGTCCGTGCAATAACTGTGTTGCTGGCTCCCAAGAAGCCTCAATATGCCAGGCGCCGACAGTTGCAAGGCGCCAGATGGCTTCTTGGCTGTGCTTTTCACGAGGGACGGGGCCTGTCTCAAAAGGAACTGCAAAGGGGACGCTGGAAGTGTTTCCCATCAGCTGGGTTTAGCCACCACAGACAAGGCCAAGGAGCGTGAGAACCTACTGCAGATTTTCTAAGGATGCTTCCGTGCCCCGAAGCCCAACAAGGTAGAACCGACCGTTGCGGTGGGGAGTCAGAAGATGCTCTCACAAAGTTCATGGGATGAACTGCAGGGAGATGCTGAAACCGAAGGAGCCTCCCTTGAAATGAGCCTGGTGAAATTTTATGAATTTTACAAATGGAGTGAGATTTCCCGCCCAAGAGGGCACGTGCTGGCAGCGAGATCTCTCTTTGGCAGCATTTGCTGTGGTGAGCAGTTTTTCTCAAAGCGAACTAGGGAAAGAAGGGTCAGTGTGCAAGATTAACAGATACCAGCTGGAAAATGTGTGAGGGGTACAAGAATATCCGTTGCTCTCCAGAATGAAATGAGCACAAAATGCCCACTATGAACATACTGATATTATTCAAGAATCCGGTGTTTACTTTTTGACACTCATTACTTTGCATTTTCATTAGGGAGTTTAAGTCACCATGCTCGGTACCTCAGGCACCCTTGGCTACTTCTGAATTGAAAATGAGGTACAGATGAAACAAACGTTTACACCGAAACCAGTCGTTTAACCTTTAAGCAGTTCAAATAAAATACTTTCCACCATCAAAGTCATGCTTTGCACTATGGCTGTGCCTCCTTTCGGGCTGCCAAGAAGGCGATGTGGCCATGTGCGTGAAGTTCTGCTCCAAGTCCACTTTGCCTTGTAGATGGGACCCCATGCAGGGCTCTTCCCGCTGATCTCGGCCCACAGACGATGCTGGGGAGAGTTTCGTTCAGGTCTTTGGGTCTCAAACAATGCAGACCTTTGTACCTTTGAACTAGGCCAAAGCGGCTGGCAGGCAACCGGAGTAGGTCTTTTGAAGTTTCTGTTATCTGATAGCTTTGCTTAGCTGAGCTGAGCAATTTGGCAGCCGTACTTTCTGGACCACCTTCAAGGAAGCCCCCTTTCTCTTTGGGGTAGTTGGCAGGCCGGTAATCTAATGTGTGAAAAACTGGAAGTTGGTTATCCCAGGCTGAGGAAGTTGCAAAGGACGGACCGGTTAAAGCTGGCCATCTGGGTGGACCTCTCCAGCGACACGTGAAGGTGGGAATGAACGCCCACGTTCCTTCGACCTGGGTCTGGTGCTCCCTGGGTCTTAGGGAAGACCGGGGCTCCACTAGCAATTTCTTCTTCCCCTGCCAAGATCAGTCTTGTGAGAAGCAGCACTGGCAGCTCGTGGTACCATATACGTTATTTTGAGTTCACTGTGGTTTTTCTTCTTTCTTTATGAATTGATTGTTCAGAAATACAGACAAGCATCTATAAGGGACATAAAGAGGCACCGATGTTTCTGTTTCCAATGGGGTGCAGTCAGTTTCCAAACCCAAAGTGTTTCCATTAGAGCAAACAACAGCAGGAGGAGACCCTGTTCTGCCCCGTGGTCTGCGCATTTTATTATCTCCCATCATTCCTTTTCAATCTGCTGATCCTGCATGCCTACCTGCTACTTTTCCGAAGTTTTGTTTTTCATGGCTTGAAAAGAGTAACCTTATCGGTTTGGGCAACGACACACAATCCTTTTGCCTGGTGAATTTTTTAAAAGCTCAGCCTTTGAATGTAGTTATTCTTCCCAATGTCATTTATTTATTTTCCTTTCCGGAATGCTTTCTGCAGGAGGGGAATCCTGAAATATTTTATGTACTTGGGCTGTAGCCAGACTGCCTGTTCTCACAACTGATGCTGTGGTTGCACAGCACAAGTATATAATATTAACCCCATTTGCCTGTTTCTGCCAGTCGCCCTTCCGTAGTTGACGTCCTCTGAATGCTGCCTGGCGGACATCCAGCTGTCTCATAAGGATGGGAGTCGTAGTCTCACCTGGAAGAAGGCCCTCTTAAATATTCCCTCCCCACGCCTCCCGGGTGGCTTCCGTTTCCTAGTCATATTACATTGCTTTGGGGCGGAGAAGAAAGAAGAATTGTGCTATTGTCTGAATTTACTTGTTCATCAGTTCAACCTCTCTGTGGTGGCTTTCTTTGAGAAGACCAGGTGGCTTTATAACTGATTTTTCTTTTTTCAGTGAAACCCTGTATAACCTTTGCAGGTATCAAGATTACAATAAAAGGATGTAGCAGGCGCAGGAATAGAGAGAGCGAGAAAAATGATATTAACCATGGGCACAAGACCGTTTTGCCTGGTTCTGCATTAGATGTCTGGTTCCTTGTTAGAGTTTTAATCAGAATGTTAGCTCCTTTGAGTATTAAAAATAGAAAAGCAAGATATAAATATATGTTCTGAGGGTGTGAATGTGGATTCTGCTTGAGCATATGGCTGCTAATCATGAGCTCTTTTTGCATCCAAACTTTCCTGTACATCACTGTATGCTACATCAGCTTTCTAAGGAAAGGTGAGGACTTGTAATACTTTCATAATACGCTTCAGTTAATAATAAGAGTCATTCAAGTGGAGTCTTTTTTATAAGTCAAAGACTTCATTGAAATACTGCATTTGATCGTTTTTGCATCCTTCTTACGTTCCAGCGATATTTTGTGTTTTCCATTGGCTGACATCAGCCAGAACATTCACATCATTTTAAAGGTAATTTACTGTAAGGGGACAAAACATCACAGGAGAAACAAACATAACTCTAGAAGCTTTATCATTTCCCGAATACTGTGAATTCAAAAAAAAAGAAAAAGAAAAGAAAAGAAAGCCACCCTATGTCGAAGGAAATTGATTTTTCTCTTTGCCAGGAATCCCACCATTCATCTTTTGGGACAGGAGCCCTTTCACAGCCTTCCAAGCTCTCCTGGTCTCTTTCACTCTCAGTTATGCTGCCTT